CCCCAAAACCCCAAAACCCCAAAACCCCGAATGTTAATATTGATCTTATAATTTGAGTAGTATTAAATATAAAGTAATAAATTGCATAAATATATATTTAGATGGGAAAAAAGGTAAAGGGAAATACTTCAGCCTCAAAAGTTAATTAAGACTCTAATGAAAAAGACCTTCATTCAAAGATGCTTGATTAGATAGGTCTAAGTGTTTCAGATAGTAAAAATATAGCCAAAGATTCGAATAAGAAATCCAAACATTCTAATAAAAAAGCAGAAAGATAACAAGAAAATGTAGTTGACTTTGACTAGGAATTTATGGATGATGATGAAGGTGGAGACTAATAGTTAACATTGGGTGATATATTCTAATCAATAGGAGTAAGTAAACTAAGTGAAAAAGAACAAAAGTCCAAGAATAATGATACTATCAATGCAAGTAAGTTATAAAAGTAAATAAAGGAGCTGAGAAAGGATGCTGAAAAGAACCCAGCTATCTCTTAACCTTTAACAGGAAGGAAGAGGCTTCAAATAGAAAGAGAGTAGAATTATAAGCAAGTGTAAAAACATATGAAAAAGTGGATTCCTTAAGTTAAGGAAAATAGAGAGGCAGACTATGTTGACTTTACTACAACTGATGTTATTGGAGAGGGTGGCGGAGTTAAGCTTAATTCCTTAAATTAAATAGCGTCAAATTTAAAAGCTTCTTAAGCCACAAGCAAGTTAGAGCAGTAAATATAGCAAGAACTTTCAAGACAAGGTCTTCAATCTGAGAATGACATCAAGAGAAAGGAATAGGAATCCTTGAAGAATGTTCTAAGCTCAGACCAATTAGAATAGAGATATTAGCAAATAGCTTAGATGAAAAGTCTCTTATTCAGGTAAGAAATGAAAAATCGAAGAATCTCAAAGATTAAGTCAAAGCTATATCATAAGATTAAGAAGAGAGAGAAGGATAGAGAGGAGAAAAAGCTCATAGATTATTTGGAATAGATTGATCCATAGGCTGCTTAGGTTTATAGAGAGAAGGAAGAACAGAAAAAGGTCGAGGAAAGGCTGAAGTAAAGGCATGCCAGTAACAATAAGTTTGCTAAGAAGCTTAAGAGATTTGGTATGATGGAAAATGAGAATATAAGAGAAACTTATAATGAGATGATGAGAGAGAAAAATACTTTGAAGCAGAGAACTAAAAAGGTTAATCCGTTTGTAGAGGATGATGATAGTGATATATCAGATGACGATTCGGGTTCTGAAGAAGAGGATGATATCAATGCTATTAGGAAGAAAGCCTTAAAAGCAATTTAAAATGAAATTGATGATGATGCTTCTGATGATGACGAAGAAAATGATTAGAGTGGTGATGATGATGAAGAAGAAGATGAATCTGAAGATGAGGATTCTGACGAAATTGATCTCAACTTTGATGATTAGAAAAAGTCTCAATAAAAGTAGAAAAAAGAGACCGAGAAAGGTATTTTGGGGTTGAAGTTTATGTAAAGAGGAGAGGAGAGACTTAAAGAGTAAACTAAAGAGCAAGCAAAGATGCTCATGCAATAGATCAAAGAAGATCAGGAGATATTAGGATTGAGTGATGAGGATAATAATAAAAATAACGCCTTTGTCAAAGCTTCTAATAAGTTTGGTCAAAGTAAACTTGAAATAAAGTAACTAGAAACACATAATATAACAGATGACTAGCTTAAGAAGGCTGCAGTGAAACTTGCTGGTTCAAAGTTGAATATTGATAATGAAACTTAGAATGCTAAAAACTCATCTAAAAATAATGATGACAAAAAGAAAAAGGATAAAAAACAACTTGAAGTTACCTTTGATGTCAAGGAAGACTTGAAAAATTTCAAGCCAGATAATAAAAAGGTTATTTCTATTTCAAAGGATGACTAGGTCTTAAGAAATCTATTTATTGCTCCACAAGATGAAGAGTAGGCAATGGAGGAATTCGAAAAAGAAAAAGATGAGCAGATTGAGGATGAACTTGGAAATAAGGTTAAGGCACCGATTGTTCAAAGAGGTTGGAATGAATGGGCTGGGGATGGTGTTAATGAATCTAATCACGAGAAAAGACAAGCTAGAGTCACTGAAATAAAGAAGAAGAAGATAGAGGAACTTAAGAAATAGAGGGCAGATAGCAAACTTAAAGGAGTAGTATTGAATGTAGAGGAAAGAGATAAGAAATTCGCCTAGAAATATCTTGTCAAAGAGCTACCTCATCCATACAAAAATGTTAAACAGTTTGAAGCACTCATGAATGTACCAATTGGAAAAGATTGGAATACTCTTTAGAGTCATAAGAGATTAATTCAACCAGATGTTCTAACCAAAGCTGGTACTATCATTAAACCCCTCAAATACAAGAAAGATTTACCAATTAGAATGGAAACTATTGAGGCTTTAGTAGAGCATAGACATGGCAAAAGAGAGAAAAGACCAGCAGCTAAGTTTTGAAGATAGCAAAACCAGCGATAAAATCTAATTAACTATTTATTTTTATTTTAAGAATGAAATTCTTGAGCTTATCTAATTATCATGGGGTTTTGGGGTTTTGGGGTTTTGGGG